ACGTGTGTGTGTGTGTGGTGAGGATACTTAAAATCCCTGTTAGCAACTTTCAGGTATGCAGTATGTTATTACTAAATGTAGTTACCATGTTATACAATAGATCTCTTATTTCTCCTGTCTAACTGACACTCTGGATCCTTTTACCAACATCCTCCCCTAACCCCCACCTCTGGTAACCACCATTTTACAGCTTCTATGAGTTTGACTCAAAATTTTAAATAACCCATGTAAGTGAGAGCATGAGGCATTCATCTCTCTTTGCCTGGCTTATTCTGTAGGACTGCAGTATTTTGTGTATTAAAATAGAGTACATACGAGGACAGTTTGAAAAAATTCTTCTGAAGACAGTAGGAGTAAAGCAATCTCAGCTCCCAAATTAAGCCACCCTTTGCCAGATAGCTTTTCTTTTCTTTTTTTTTAATTGCAGTAAGAACACTTCACATCATGGCTACCCTTGTAACAGATTTTTCTGTGCACAATATAGTATTGCTAACTATAGATACAGCGTTGTACAGCAGATCTCTAGAACTTAGTGATTATGCATAACTGAAGCTTTTTTTTTTTTTTTTTTTTTTTGAGATGGAGTCTCACTCTGTCACCAGGCTGGAGTGCAGTGGCACGACCTTGGCTCACTACAACCTCCATCTTCGGGTTCAAATGATTCTCCTGCCTCAGCCTCCCGAGTAGCTGGGACTACAGGCACATGCCACCACACCCAGCTAATTTTTTGTATTTTTAGTAGAGACGGGGTTTCACCTTGTTGGCCAGGATGATCTTGATCTACTGACCTTGTCATCTGCCCACCTCAGCCTCCCAAAGTGCTGGGATTACAGGCGTGAGCCACTGCGCCTGGCCTGCTTTTGTGCTTTCTAATAGTCAAGGCAAATGAGATACAAGATTTCTTAGTTTTGAGCAGCTACTCTGCTAGGCAAATGTGTTCAGATTCATCTATAGATATAAAATCGAAACTGTTGGCCCTTTTTAGAAGCATAGCCACACGCATCAGGGGCTTTCATGTTTCAGTTGTTTTAATACATCCTAGAATGAGACTGCAGGCACTAAAACTCCTTGAACAAGGTTTTGAGTTTTCCTCACCCTGCCTCCTTATCACCATGTAATTCTTCCAGTTCTTTTCTTTATTTTTATTCTTTTTCTCCCTTTTCCCTCAATTTTTTCCTAATGTTTGGACCAACCAAGATGGTGTACCTGTTAAATATGTAAATGACCAAGAAGTTATTTTCCTGGTTAAAATATCAGAAATATTATTGGCATTTGTAAAACCCTAAATTTAACAGAGCTTCTTTACAAAAAATTTTCTACCACCTTCATGAAAAGGATTTGCCCGAGTTATAAAGATGCGTATTATGAAAGAACTTGAGACTTTCAGGAATTTGGACATTTTTTGGTTTTACATCTAGATATTTGACTTGGAAGAGTACAATCTTTAAGTATTGGTCTATTTAAAGTAATTATCTACCATTTGTGGGTAGGAGGTGACAAAATTGGATGTACTAATCCCAAAATTATTGGGTACTATTTTTACACCTGACATAGCAGTTTTATGAAAATTTCATGTGTGAAAAGCCAGTGTGTCTGCTTCAGGGTGAGATGAATTCTGTCGCAGTAGTTGTGATTATACCATCAGACATGTAAAAGAAGCAAAGCAAAATAGAGAAACAGCTGCAGGACACAATTCTGCTTTTCCAAGGAAAATGAACTGAGCAATCTGTTGAGCAGCCTCTGACCCTTGGACCCACCGTGGGCCTAAGTGCAGCCTAATGCAAATCAGAAGGATTAGGGAAATGACATCTTCAGTGTGCCCTCCTTAGAGAATCCCTCAGTGGAAGGGCAGGGGCCAGCCAAGACCCTCAGCATGGGGTCTCAGAGTAGACCCCTTCTTAGGGTTCTGATAGAATGTTCTGGTGAGGCCCTCTGGGAAATAGCCACAAAAAAACTGCAAACTGTGCTGTGCCCGTTTTCCCTGACTCCACTCTCTTTATGATGGTTGTCCCCACCTCTTTTAGAGACCAGCCATTTCACTTGGCCTCCTCTCTCACCCAGCCTCCCAACTGGCCTCTCTGTCTCCACTTTTGCTCCCCTGTAGTCTGTTCTCCATCCAAAGCAGAGTACGCTTTCAAAAAAGATAAATCTCCTTACCCAATCATGGCTTATTTGCACTTTGATGAGAGATTAAACATCTTATCTGCCACCAGGTGCTGCCTGCTGTAGCTCATGTCTGGTCCTCTGGCCTCAGCTCATTCCTAGCCTCACTCACCTGCTTACTCTTCCTCACACCTGCCAAGCTATTGCCCCTTCCCAGGACTCCTACACCTGCCATTTACTCTGCCCAAAACGTTCTGCCCCCACCTTGCATGGTTGCTCCCTCTCAGACCTCAATTTGAAACCTCCTCAGAAGGGCTTTTGTGACCATCCTGCTCAATTAGGTGCCCTCTTTCCCAGTGATTTTTCAAGATCTGCAGGGAATGGCTGGTTTATAAATTCCCAAACCATTTGTGGACTGAGGTTTTTCGAAAATGTAATGAAGATGCCATAGCAGTGTCAAAGTGCCATAAAGGTTTTCAGCACTCCTGTGTTCCCCACTCCTCTCCCTGTGGGCTGGTAGCAAACAGTTCAGGCCAACGCTGACCTGTGGTTGGCACTTGGGGAGCAAGCAGCATTGCTCTGATGATTATCCTATGTATGTCCCTAGAACCAACCATTCTGCAACCCTCTGGCCTTTTGTGTGTGTTTGTCCTCAGTAGAATGAGCTCCATGATGACAGGGATTTTAGCGTGGACTTGTCACTCATCCATGTGGATGTTCCAGCTCTCTGATGTTCCTACCCAGCACAGCCCAGTTCACGCAGGAGAAAATCATAGAAGGTCCAGGTTTCGTCTCCCTCCTCCCCTGGGTGGATCTGTTTCATTCTCCACATCCTGTAAGAGTCTCGGAGTGATGTTGCTAACTAACTGCATGACCTTAACCAGGGGATTTTAATACCACTTGCCTATGTCTCCATCTCTGTGAAGTAGGCATGGTGTTTTCTTCTACTGTAAACTGAGGTAGTGCTTTTGGACACACTTTGTGATCTCCAAAATGCTCCCCTGAGTGGCTTCTCAAGTAGGCATCGATTTTGTAACTGAAAAACAAAAGCCAATTTCCTCCTTGATGTTTTTAATGAGAGAAAGTGCAGCCAGCAAACTTCCTGTAAAGGGCCACATAGTAAATATTTTAAATGTTGCAAGCCACATAAATCTCTGTTGGTTTTCCCCCCTACCTCTTTAAAAATATAGAAACTATTCCGAGCTCCAGAACTGCAGGAAAGCAGGCCAGGGTAAAGATTGCCAGTCCATAGTGATAGTTGGAATTGTATTTCTGTGGGACAAAGTAAATTTTATTTTCGGTTTAAATGAACTAAAAAATGTGACCTATAACAGATTTATTTTTCTTGAATTGGTCCTCTTGCAAAAATGTTAATTACTTTATTCATACTTTGCACCCCTTGTCTCTTGTTTTTAAATGTGTCATAATCAGTGAGCTTTGGAACAATTTATCTCACCATAAAATCGTGGTTCTCCAGAGTGGGATTGGTGGGTTTTGTAGAGGAACCCAAAGCATAGTTACACTTTGGAAGACCAGCTTGATGATATGTCCAAAAGTGGACTCTGGTAATAATGCATTTTTGCCTACCATTCAAAATATATTATGGTCTTAATTTCCTGAAGTTTTCCCCTGATGATTTACTTATTTATAGACATCTTATGAAATCTTCTATTGAATTTAAAGCTGATACAGTGTTCTTGCTTCATTTCTGGCTAATAGCCAGATGTGAATTACTGCTAGCCAAGTTTGTATAGTATTGTCAACTTTTTAACTGCTTAGTTACAAATAGGGTGTGCTTGGATACAACTCATCTTTTGTAAAAGCCCCTTTTCCTGCCTTTGCTGCCAGTATTTCCTGACGGCCATCTCTTGCCTCTCTTATAAACCATGTTGCCAATATTCTTCAGCAGTGCCATTGTTTCCGTGTGTCTAGTGTTTTTGCTTTTTTGTATGTGTGTTTTAAGACAGAGTCTCTCTGTGTCACCCAGGCTGAATCTAGTGGCACGATCTTGGCTTACTGGAACCTCCACCTCCTGGGTTCAAGCGATTCTCTTGCCTCAGCATCCTGAGTAGCTGGAATTACAGGCACCCCCCACCACACCCGGCTAATTTTTGTATTTTGAGTAGAGATGGGGTTTCGCCATGTTGGCCAGGCTGGTCTCCATCTTCTGGCCTCAAGTGATTCACCCGCCTCAGCCTTTCAAAGTGCTGGGATTACAGGCATGAGCCACTGCCCCTGGCCTCCCAGTGTTTTTTCAGTGTTCTTTGGTTGCAAATTTTAGCAAAGTTTTCTGATTGAAATTGACATGGTAGTAGGTCTTAGCAAGTCAAAACCAAATCAGTAAAATAGTGCCTGGGTATCTCCAACTTTCTCTCTTTAGCTCTGACATGTCAGGATAGCCAGCTGCTGAATAAGAAGCCTGGAGCCCTGGCACTGTGTAAATGCAGATTATTCACAGTATGTGAGCTGAGCTACAGTATAGTGTGTTTGTTAGGAGCTTGGATGTGCGAGCCAACTCTGCCATCGCCACTTTCCAGCTGTAGGATGTTGGGCAACTTTTTAACCACTCCAAACCTCGGTCTCCTCATCTGTAAAGTTGGCATAATAAAAGGACCTTCTCCATAGGATTATTGGGAGTTTTAAATAAGTTAATATTTGCCCCATAAGGATTAGCTGAGTTAGTGCCTTGTAAGCATTGGCTGTTATTATGTATTAGTCACTTGGCAGGAGCTGGGCAGGTGTGAAGAAGAGTAAGGAGGTGAGAGAGGCTGGTAATGAGAGAGAAGGGGCACTGGCCGGGAGGCAAAGTGTGCTTTTTCTGATATATATTAGTGGATAACACTGTGCATGGAAAATCTTATATTTAACTTGCTTTGTCCATTTTAATTTCCCCACAGGCCTTCGTGGAGGCCCAGAATAAGATCACTGTGCCATTTCTTGAGCAGTGTGCTATCAGAGGTTTGTACAAGGAGAGAATGACTGAACTGTATGATTATCCCAAGTATAGTTGCCACTTCAAGAAAGGAAAACGGTATGTGAGACTGCTTTTCCTGAATTTCCTTTTTATTTTCAAAGCAAATGCTTTCTTAAATTGTAAAGGACAAATTCCAGATAACTTATCCTTGCATAAGAGTAATTCATTATAAGGAATTAATTTCTATGCCTGAATATGAGAATAATATTTTTTGGTCTATTAGGTATTGTCCAAATTGTTACAATAATGGTGAAGAAATTTAGTAGAGATATAAAGTAATCTGGGTTATAGGAAATCATTGTTGTCTTATGGTTAGTCATTGGTGAGTTAGGATGATTCATAGACAGCAATGGAGGTTTGTTTGCCTCCAAAATTAATTACCTTTGGTTTATACTACTTGGAAACGTTTAATTCGATGTATTTCTTGCATCCCAAGAATGGTGAAGTGGTGAAATTCACTTCTCTTGTTCCTGTCCCGTTAACATCCACTTACACGTGCTTTTTTTGATTGTTTATTAAATCTCTTTGGAGCCACTATCACAAATTTACTTTAGCCTTTCTTGAGCCCTCTGCCATTCTCACACAGAGATCAGCAAAGTAGAGTGCATTCCAAACCCTGCCTGCCTACCTATTTTTATAAATAAGGTCTGATTGGGACACAGCCATGCTTATTGGCTTATGTATTGTCCATGGCTGCTTTTGTGCTACAGCTGTAGGCTTTAGTATTAGAGCGACAGATTGTGTGGCTCACAGAGCCTGAAATATTTGCAGTCTTGCCCTTTACAGAGAAAGTGTGCTGACCTTCCACCCTAGCAGCCTGGCTAGGGAAAAGAACCAGAATTGTATTTTAGAAAAATCTGCTTTCGTCTTCATTTAAAAGAAAAGTTACTGCTTTGTTTGAATATCAATTTTTATTTAGAACACAAAATGGTCTTCATTTGTCTCTACTTAGCTAATATGCAGAATTACAGTACATGATTTGAATATAGAAAGCAATTCCATTAACAAGCTCTAGGTAGAGAGAAATGATGGGACCTTTCACCCATGTCCCCACGTCCCTGTGATGGCCAGATGACAGTTGTACCTTTGTAGGTTTTTGGGTTTTGCCTGTATGTGTTTGGTTTTACCCCACAAATAAGAGACTGCACAGCTAAATAAAGACCATCTCTGTTCCCCAGGTATTTTTATTTTTACAATACAGGTTTGCAGAACCAGCGAGTATTATATGTACAGGATTCCTTAGAGGGTGAGGCCAAAGTGTTCCTGGACCCCAACATACTGTCTGATGATGGCACGGTGGCACTCCGAGGTAATTGCTTTACAGAGAGGCTCATGGGACCTCTCTTGGAGCTCTGAAGTTAGTGCAGTTGCCTTACCTCTGAAATACCACGCAGGGTGTGGACCATATTGTAGAACAGATGCACATATAATATCAGGAAAGCTAATTTTTGCACAGTATATTTAGAATACATGAATAGTCACATTCCTGTTTGCCACTGGGATGGCATGAAGCAGAACTGGAGGATAATTCACACTGGACCCAAATTAGCTTCTAGGGCTTCTGGGATCTTGAAGTATCATCATCATTTCCTATAACATCCCTGAGACCTATCTGCGATTAGAAAAAAAAAATAAGTAGTCTTTTATGAGAAATTTAAGCTTACAAAGAATGTTCCAACCATAAATATTAAACAGGAAAGAATGTTTATGAGATCAATTTCCCTCTTGGGAAGGTGGTGATCAGAATTTTAAAAATCTATTTAATTGTTAGCGTGCTAGAATTATAAGTAAAAACACTCAAATCTTGTAGAAATTGAATAGCTGGGTATCCTGTTCCCTGAAGATGCAGGTTTAAAGACAAAGTTTGTCCACAGTTGCTGTACATTTCTTATTTAACTTTGCCCCTGAGTTAACCTCCTCCACAGACCATAGAGAAGATTACCCCAGGTTTGTTGTGCCATAAGTAGAGTTCCAGGGTAAGGAACTAAGTTATTCTCCAGTTCTGTGGTTTAATAATTGTAAACTCTGTAATGATAACGTTCTAGATGACGTTGGCTCAGCATTTCCCTGTAGTGTCTTCTGGTTTTGTAGGAAAAAAACATAGGATTAAGTATGGCCCTCTAAAATCGAGAAATTGGAACATTGAAGTCCTCTGTAATCAATGAGATGAGAGTTACAGAGCTCCGTTCCATCAGACCTGTGCAAAGAAAGCCCTTTTATGCAAGCACTTCTAACCATGGTTCATTCGTTCAGTGGTCCACCCTCCCCTCCCTCTGAATAGCCTGTGTATGTAAACAGTGATTCTTTATCAAACCAGTATTGAAAATAAGACATCCGCCAGCTTGACAGGAGTGTTCTTCTGTGAATCTGAGCAAATAGTTTTAAGTGAATTTAATATACAGGTTCTGTTGAAGTAACATATCCTATAAAGGAATTCATAACATATCCTATAAAGGAATTAGTTTCCACAAGGATCTATCTTGCAACCCATTCAGAGGAACAGGGTCTTAACTCCCACTCCGATAATGCATTCTTCTAGCTAACTTCTTTATGGAATGTTTACCATGGACAAAGCTAAATTAGGCATGAGAGATAAATTAGGCGTGAGACCTGCCTCAAACAGTCATTGGGTTTTCTATGAGTATTATAGGGAAGTTATCACAATAGGAGTAAACGTTCAGATTCTTTTCATAGTATATGATTTTTAAACATACATTTCAAGTCAAAAGGTTTTATTTAAATTTTTCTGAAAATTTTCTGGTATATATACATAAATAATCGAAACACTCCAGTGCTTTGTAGAATAAAAGGTGAATATGTTTCTTCCTCCCATCACCTCCTAGACTCTTTTCTGCATTTACATATGTATGAACTGGATACTTTGTAGGACTTACAATGATTAATGAGTGGGTTCTGTGAAATGTTAAACTAATTTCCCATTAATTGAAATTTCATGTAAAAAGAATAGGAAACCTCTGATAATAGTTGAGCTTAAAATTTTCAGTCCCCAGTAACATTTAGCAAACAGCCTAAGAGGATATCTCTGGTGTCAGAGTCTCCAGTAGGAGGTATTTTATCAAATACTTTACATATTTACATATATAGATGTGTTATAATTATAAACGCTAATATGAAACACAAATATTTGGCAGGAAACATTCCATAGTGGTTAGAACATTCCATCAGGGCCCTAAGGATTGTATATGGCACAACAGTCTACAGACGTGTTGCTTTTCTTTTCACAGTTTCTTGTGGAACGTGCGTACTGGAAGCCTTCATTGCAAACCCTCAGGCTTTATTTACCTGGGCCTGTGATGGTCAGACAGTGTAACATTAATCCTTGTGCACAAGAAATGCCCTGAAAATTAGGCTGTAACCAGGGATTTTAGATAGTTTGGAAACAATCCCCCAAATTATCTAACAGCCACAATTTAGTTCTATTATATGGTATGTGCCATAATTCAGTCATTACTCTAAAAGCAGTTTCATTTTTCTCTTTATTCCCTTTAGAGTATAAATAAAATATGACAGAAGTCCCAGATGAAATCTGCTTTTAACTGATCTGCCTATTGAATTACAAAAATTTCAAAATGAAAGCATTTTAATGGGCATGCAATCCAATATTTAATTTTATAGACAAATTAAGACCTGGAGAGGTTAGGAAACTTGTCTAAGGTCATAAGGGTAATTCCTGTAAGACTTGGGCTGAGCCCCCAAGATTCCTCACTACCAGATTCCTATTCCTTTTGTTGCCACATTCTACCTCCGTGTTATGAAAGAGAATGAAAGAGAGCTTTGTCAGACGGTGTGGAGGACAGTGGAGTTGTGTTCCCATGTTTGTCATTGGGTGATTTCTCCTGTGTCCCATAGGTTATGCGTTCAGTGAAGATGGTGAATATTTTGCCTATGGTCTGAGTTCCAGTGGTTCAGACTGGGTGACGATCAAGTTCATGAAAGTTGATGGTGCCAAAGAGCTTCCAGATGTGCTTGAAAGAGTCAAGTTCAGCTGTATGGCCTGGACCCATGATGGGAAGGGAATGTTCTACAACTCATACCCCCAACAGGATGGAAAAAGTGATGGTGAGTGAAGACTTCAGATGAAGCACATTTTTCACAAAGTGAAGTCTGACTTCACGTGACTGAAAAGAGATGCTAAACCCTACATAAAGGTTGTGTGGCCCAGAACCATGTTTTCTCAGAGGGTGTTGTATCAGTTGGCTTTGCTGTGCAATAGGCCGTACCAAAATGTAGTGGCTTAGACTCATAACCATTTATTTTTGCTCTGAGCCTGTGGGTTGGCCAGGTAGGTCTTCTGGGCTTAGCTGAGTTCTAACGTGTATCTGTGGTCAGCTGCAGGTCAGTTGGTTCAT